CAAGGAGGGGTCGCTATGAGTTGGAGACAACTCCACGGCACATAACAACAATAATAACATGCAGATGAACTGTCTGTGGCCTGCTGAGAGGGAATTGGTTAGTTCCCGGCCCTGGTGGGAGTGCCATGTTTTGAAATTGACAAGGAGTTTGTGTATTGAAGCAGCCAGCTCCACAGAAGGTTTTTGAGATAAAAAGAAGCAGGAGGAGAAGCAGAATGAAGCAAGAAGTAGAGAGAGAGGAAGGAAGGAGTCTCCTAAAACAACCTAACACTGGTCAAGGGCTGCAACATTGAAGACAGTGAGAGACCCAGAAATGACCCTGTGGCAGAGTCATCCGCAACAGACGGCAGGGCCAAGAGGAGGCCTGCACAGTCAAGAGCTGAGAGAGTGCTCCTGAGCCGGAGAAGGGACACTTTACCTACCTGCTTCCTGAGCCTTAATGATAAACCACTTAACTGCAAGTATGATCTGTGAGTTCCATGTGGCCACTGCAACAGATTACCAAACCTGTGGGAGGACAGCTGGTGACAGAATTAGTGAAAAAAAAAGATTGGACAGCGGAGGTATGTCTGACCTTCACCTCATAGGAATCATCTTTGGGCTGACCTTGATTCTCATCATGCCCCCTGAAGTTAGACGGGTTCTGACTATGCTTCTGACCATACTGCTACTCCTGCCATTTTACATTAATTCAGAGAGAAGCTCAAAGCATGAATATTTATAAAAAGCATTGCTGTTTTAGTACTTCAAGTACAAACTGCAACTCAAGGGTTAAGGTCAGAGTCCACCTCTACAGGGTGACCAACAGACCCAATTTGCCTGGAGACACCAATGATTTTAGCACTGAAGGCCCCATGTCCTAGAAAATTCCTGTGGGGCCAAACTGGCACAGTTGGGAACCTAGCATTGAGTGTCAGGCACTCTGCTGGGCCTTGGACACATATCACATCATTTTACCCATAGCCAGTGTCAAGGGTATGTTTGCTTGTCCCCATCTCGCTCATAAAACAGACTCTGAGAGGTTAAGTTCCTTGTCCAGGTCCACCCTCCAGAGTAGGTGGAGCCAAACTTTGGCACCGAGCCTGCCAGGCTCAAAGCACTGGTCTCTCAGGGCAATAGACAGGACTGTCTAGTTGCCCATCTGTGGGTCTCAGGAAAGGAGCCCAGTCTCTGAGCTCCCCAACACAGGCCAGAGAGTGGGCTTGGGTAGGGCTTTGCTGCCCTCTGGTGGCAGAGGGGCTAACACTCTGGGTCTGAGTCCATTCTTGGGGCAGCCCATGGTGGTGGAGAGGCCCCCTTTCCTTCCCGGAAGCAGGGACTCAGTTCTGGTCCCAGCAGCTCTAGGGACTAATTGTTGTAGTTAATTGCCATTGAGCTGATCCTAACTCATGATGACCTATGTGTGCAGAGAACTGATCCAAACGGTTTTGGAGGCTGCAACCTTTTGCAAACAGATTCCAAAGCCCATCTTCCAAGGCATCTTGGATAGGTTTGAACCACCAACCTTTGGGCTAGTAGCCGAGACATTAACCTTTTTGCACCACCCAAATACTCTCGGGTGCCCTAGGAGGGCACCACATAAAGGGCTCCCATCAGGGTCTTGCTTGGTTCATCCATCGTGAGTCACATGCCAACCAGGCCCTCACAGATCCAGGGTCAGATCGCTGGGTTTGAGTCTGCGTGACCCTGAGTTCCTTACCCCTCACTCCTCTGGGCCTCCATCTCCTTGTGTGAAAATGCAGGATGATAAATATGTCCAACACACTCAGAGCATCCTTAGCCATTGAAGTTATTTATAGCTCCTTCCCATTCCTCCACCTTTGTGTGTTGGTTCACTTCATTCATTCACTTTACTTTCATCCAGCAGGTAGCTGGGTCTGTGCCAGACCCTGAGATGGAGACACTGTCCCTGTCCTCCTGGTTCTGTAACCCTCTGCTAATGTCGTCTCCCGTCATGCATTCAATGAATTCCATTTATTTATGGTTCATTCAATCTTCCTCACACTCGAGCACTTACTTCCTTATTCATTCAGTCACTTGATCATCCCATTTACATATTCATTCACTCATTTATTTTGGGGGGCAGCTGTGAACTCCCTCCGTCCCTCCTCAATCCCCTTTCCCCCAAGCCTTCTGGCAGCTCTCACTCTGCACAAGGCCAGGGTCAGAGGCTGAGATTCTGGCCCAATCCTCAAGGACCTCTCACGCTGGTGAAGAGGCAGATGGTAAGGACATGCTCTGGGCACTGTCACACCAGCCATCGAGACCCAAAACCCAGGAAGCACTAAGAAGGAAGAAACTGACTGCCTGGAAGGAGAGCAAGCAGAGAAGTCTTCATGGAGGAGGTGGCATCTAAGCCAAGCTATGAAGGGTCTGTAGGAGTTCTCCAGGAAGAAAAAAGAAACTCCAGGTAAACTCTTGTGAGTACATGGAAAAAAGCGAGGTGCCCAGGCTCCTGGGGTGAATGATTAGGGTGAATATGTATGCTCGGCCTCTGCCCCCACCCAGGCCAAGCCCACCCTAGGTTCCAGTGGCAAGTATGCCACCCTAATTCATCACCCTTGGCCTCTCTGGGAATCCACCAGGAAGCCAGGACTAATCTTTAGAGACTGGACACCCTCCAACTATCCATCTGTCTGTCCCAATGGGGACACAGAAGGAGAGCTGTCCTGGCCAAGCAGGCTGAGTGGGTGAGCAGCAGCGTTGAGGTGCCTGGGCTCCGAGATCCCGTGTACATCCAGGAAATGTTTATTGGGTGTTTTGCTGTGATCCAAGGAATTCTGGTGCTGTAGTGATTAAGGCCTTTGGCTGCTAACCAAAAAGGTCCGTGGGTCAATCGAACCCACTAGCCAGCCGCTCCACAGAAGATGAGACAATCTGCTTCCATGAAGATTTACAGCCTTGGAAACCCAATGGGGGTCGCTATGAGTCAGAATCAACTCGATGGCAGTGTGTTTGGATTGGGTTTCATCTTGCCGTGATTCAGGCCCTACCCCAGGCCTAGGGATACAGCAGTGAAGAAGACACAGCTTCTGCTCTCTGAGGAGTGAGAAATGATAACCAAGAAAACTAGTGTCTGTAAAAGCGTCCAGGAACACACCCTGGAGGTTGCACAGGCGCTGCACAGAGAAAGAAAGACAGCACTTACCCTCAGTACAAAACCCAAACCCAACTCACTGCCATCAAGTCAATTTGGACTCTGGTAGCGTAGTGGCTAAGGCACTTGACTGCTAACCAGAAGGCTGGCGGTTCAAACCCACCAGCCACTCCTCGGAAGGAAGGTTGGGCAATCCTACTTCCGTAGTGATACTGCCTCGGAAACCCAAGGAGGGCTCACTATGAGTCAGGGCTGACTCCACGGCACATAACAACAAACATAAAGAGGACAGAGTAGAACTGCCCTAGAGGGTTTTCGGGGCTGTAAATCTTTACAGAAGCAGACTGCCTCATCTTTCTCTTGCAGAGCAGCTGGTGGGTTGGAACTGCTGACCATTTAGTTAGCAGCCTAATGCCATAACCACTACCCTCAGTAAGCTGGTGTTAAAAAGGATTTACTTTGGGATTGGGGCCTGTGTTGGGTGATTCTGGGGAGGGTTCCAGTAATTGGCCTTTCACTCTGGAATATATGCTGTTAAGAAGCATAAGTTCTAAGACTGGATATCAATAAATATTTAAAGTGAGAAAGAGGAATCGAGACTAAAGCTCTGAAGAATGTTGTTGTTGTTGTTTGCCATCGAGTCGGCCCCAACTCATAGTGACCCCTCCTTGGGTTTCCGAGGCAGTATCACTACGGAAGTAGGATTGCCCAACCATCCTTCTGAGGAGTGGCTTGTGGGTTTGAACCGCCTGCCTTCTGGTGAGCAGTACAAGTGCCTTAGGCACTATGCTACCAGAGCTCCTGTTGTTGTTGTTGTTGTTTTGTGCCGTCGAGTCGGCCCCAACTCATAGTGACCCCTCCTTGGGTTTCCGAGGCAGTATCACTACGGAAGTAGGATTGCCCAACCTCCTTCCGAGGAGTGGCTGGTGGGTTTGAACCGCCAGCCTTCTGGTTAGCAGTCAAGTGCCTTAGCCACTATGCTACCAGAGCTCCCACCAGAGCTCCTAGTCACTCATATTAGCCAGAATGAGGAGATGTTGGTCTTTTCCTGGTCAGAGCAACTACTCTTGTTTTTGTTCAAATATGATTACAGAGCAGTCTTGTTTATGTCTGGATCCATCGTGGTTTCAGAGTGGCTTTGTGTGTTGTTAGTGTCCTGTGTAATTGCTTATCTCCATCCAGTAGCACGCCACCGAGGCTTAGAGCTGTGGGCAGCTTTGCTTTCTCCTAAAGCTCATGGACTCAGTCAAGGTATGTTTGCTGAGTGCCAGGGGCAGAGTAATTCGAGGTGGGTAAAGACGGTATGGCCCCCCTCTTCACGGAGGTCACAGTGACACATTTACGTGCTGTCTTAAATAAACAAACAAACAAAAAAAACCCTCACTGCTGTTGTCTGTTGGACTCATAGCGACCCCTCCTTGGGTTTCCCAGGCAGTAGCACTACGGAAGTAGATTGCCCCACCTTCCTTCCGAGGAGTGGCTGGTGGGTTTGAACCGCCAGCCTTCTGGTTAGCAGTCAAGTGCCTTAAGCACTAAGGTTCCCAATTAAACAACTGGGGATAGTTAAATGTGAGGAGGAGGACACCAGATCAAAGGAACAGCCAGGACAAAGCGGAGGGCGGCAGGGAGAAGATGCTGAAAGCCATTAGCGGGTCTGCGTCGTGGTGACACGAAGCGCAAGCGAGGCAGGAGAAATTGTTCAGAAATAGGAAATGAAACTAAGCAGCTTTGATTAAAATACCCAACAACGCCTTGGGGCTCATGAATATTCAGCAGGGTTCTTCTGCCTGTCGCCCCGCCCACTCCACTAAGTACAGAGACGGCTCTCGCGGCTCTGCGCGCTGCTTCGACGTCATAGGTGCGCGCCGGCACCGTCCCTTGTCTGGGAAGCAGGAACGCGGCCATGGCTAGCTCAGCTGCCTCCGTGGTGCGACCGCCCAGGCCCAAGAAAGAGCCGCAGACGCTCATCATCCCCAAGAATGCGGCGGAAGAGCAAAAGCTCAAGCTGGAACGGCTCATGAAGAACCCGGTAAGACGAGGCACTGGGTCGATGGCCTCTCCGAATCCCACTCCACCCCGTTCCGTTCCCGGCTCTAGCAGCCCGCGGACGCACTTGCTCACCTCCCACACTCCAAAGCCGGGACTCCGAGCCCCCGTGACCAGCCGCCCCTGGTTCTTAGGAAGGAGTAGGCTGCCCCTACTAGGAGGTAACGAGCGAACTTCCTGTCTGCCCTCAGTCCCTGGTGAAGACGCTGTCGTGCGGCTTCGGTGCGCTAAGACCCTTTCCAGTTGAACTTCCTCTCAACGAAAACGTTAGACTGAAAAGATAGAATCCACTGGTTTTCCCAAGGGTGTAATGCTTTCAAAACAGCACCTGTTGTTAGAGGGGCATTGCCCGAGAACGGGCTTCTTTTCGCTCAGTTGTGAAAACAGGTGAATGAGAAAGTCTTTTAACGCTCTGGCTGGAAAGGGTTGATTCTCTCTTAGTAGTGTGAGAGGTTCCTAGCCATAACCACTGACTTTCATTTCTGGGTTCTGCTCGGGAAAAGTATAACCCTGGAAAGGCTGTGGGCTGTGCAGTACCATGGAATGCACAGAATGAAATAAAGCGAAGACCGCGGGAAGACTATAAAATCAGCAGAGCAGCCTGCTTCACTACCCGAGTTAAAATGCTTTAGTTCTAAGAGATGTGACTTTGTCAGCAGAGTCATGATAATAACTGCATGTGTTTTTAAATACTGTGTTTAAATGTTGCAGGACAAATCGGTTCCAATTCCAGAAAAAATGAGTGAATGGGCACCTCGACCTCCTCCAGAATTTGTCCGAGATGTTATGGGTAATGTCTTGTATGCGTATAAATACGGTGTTTACAGCATAGATAAACCCTGTCAGTATTAGATTTCAGATAGAAAATTTGAAAATGAAGAATATTGTTGCTTATAGGTAGGCATTGGACAATTTTCCTCTGCAGCATTCTTCAGAGTGCATTGTGTTTTCCTTAGTGGAAATCTTTTACCAGTGATATTTTTTTTCCCCCTTTGGATCCTTTTTGTGCCCACTGTCTCATTTATGTTACTTGACACGTGTGGCAACGTGTTGTTGTTAGTTGCTGTCGTGTCACTTCCAACTCATGTGACCCCATGTGTGCAGATGAGAACTGCTCTGTAGGATTGTCTAGTCTTTGACTTTTTGGGAGCAGATCACCAGGCCTGTCTCCCAAGGTACCTGCTCATGGGTTTCAACCACCAACGTTTTGGCTAATAGTCTAGCACTTAACCATTTGCAACACCTAGAGACTCCTAATGGGAATAGTTTTCTTTTTATTTTATGTGTATTTATATGCATAAATTAATGTAAACTAATTGTAAAAATAATAAATACATAAGTAAAAGTAAATATATAAAAAAATTAGAACCACTTTTAATTTATCATTCTATCTATAACATTCTGGTTTTGCCTTCTGAACCTCTTTAAAACCAAAGCCATTCATGATTAACAGCAAATGTTTTTACAGAATTTTTTGTTGTTTTATACAAATTGTTTTGTAACCTACTTTTATCACTTAATGTAGCGTGAACATCTTTTTGACTCGGGTTGTTTTCTCAGTTACTAGTCACTGAACCACAGTCTCCTTTTCCTGTAATAGTACAGTAGAGTGGGATTTCTAGTGACTTTGTATTCAACATTCATGCATAGAGATTTAATGATGCCTACGATAGTTCCAGGAGCTCTGGTGGTGTAGTGATTAAAGCACTTGGTTGCTAACCTAAAAGATAGATGGTTCAGACCTACCTGCTACCCTGGAAGAAAGATGGGGCAGTCTCCTTCCATAAAAATTTACAGCCCTGGAAACCCAGTGGGGGTCACTATGAGTCAGAGTCAACTCGATGGCGGTGGCTTTGGATTTGGTTTTGGTTTTGGATGATGATACCAGGCACTGTGCTAGATTCTGGGGTATAGTACGGATAAAAAGCTGGCCTGGTCCCTCCTATTACTTTTGGTTTCTTTTTTGAATCCCTGTTGCTTGAAAGTAGACTGAGGTGGTAACTAGATTTTGTTAAGAACTCTGGACTGTCCTGGCTTTAGGTTCAAGCGCTGGGGCTGGCAGCGGGGAGTTCCATGTATACAGGCACCTGCGCCGGAGAGAGTACCAGCGACAGGACTACATGGATGCCATGGCTGAGAAGGTCAGTGAGGGAGGAGGTGGACTGAGCCTCTGGGCTTGGGCAATGCGCACTTAAGAGCCTTTAGAAAACAGTGTTTGCAGAATAGCAGTTAGAGCTGATCACGGCTTGTGTGAGAACTACCTGCTAAAGTTGGGATGGAAAACAGACATCAAACATCAAGCAAAGTCCAGGTTACTCCTCGGTCAATCTCAGCACAGCAGGTTGCTCCCATAAGGAGAGCAATGAGGCAAGGAGACTCCCACGTGGTGAAAGGGCACAGCAGGTTCTCCCCTCCCGTCCTGGCCATGGAATGGAATGGCACGCAGGATTCCCACGTACATCTCCCCCTGACTGTTTCCCTGATGTCCTCCTTGCCTTGGGCTGAATGCCAGCGCAACTCCAGTTCACTGTGTGTTTGCTGTGAACAGTGCTGTGCTTTCGCATGTCTGCTGCTTTGAGGATTTGGGTTTTCTAGCTTTAAGGCACGCATTTCTTCATGGCAGGTGTCAAATAATAATTGCTTATGTTAAGAGCTTAAGAATTACTTTAGAAATTATACTTTAAAAACTGTTTAGCTTTCTGTTACTTGTCTGGGAGGGCCAGAAACCACTCTCCTAATGCTCTTTTAAAATACCCTTTGGGACATTTCCCGTTTTATTTTGCTGATTGAATTTTCAAATGGTTTTATCCCCACCGAAACTCTTGTTTGATTTTTGTCTGGAATTGAGTTGAATTTGTAACTTAACTGGAGTGTGAATGGATGCTGTTTAGTCATCCCTCCTAGAAACCGTGTGTAGTTTTTCATTTGTTTGTTCTTTCATCTCTCGATGATGATTTGTAGAGAATTTGCATCTCTCACCACACTGGTTCAGAAGTATTTTACGTTTTTTGATAAGTGATGCTGGGTAGCCCTTTGTATTTGACAACTGGCTGTTAGTGACCAGAGTCCCTGGGTAAGTGGTGGACGTGCTTGGCTGCTGACCGGAAGGTTGGAAGTTTGAGTCCATGCTGAGGCGCCTCAGAAGAACAGCCTGGCGCCCGCTTTTGAAAAACCAGCCGCTGAAAGCCCTGTGGGGCCCAGTTCTACTCTGACCCACAGGGGGCGCTGTGAACCAGGCTCAGCTCACAGCAGCTGGTGATCCAAAGAAATACACTGACCTTTGCAGTGCTCTCCTTTATTTGCCTACCTTACTGTTAGCGAAGGAGCTCTTTTGGCATGGTGCCTAAGACATTCGACTGCTAACTGAAAGGTTGGTGGTTCAAACTCACCAGATGCTCCACGGAAGGAAGATGGGGCAGTACTTCCATGAAGATTTACCGCCTCAGAAACCCAGTGGGGGTCGCTGTGTCAGAATCAACTTGGTGGCAGTGAGTTTGGTTTGGTTTTGGTTTTAATGAAAATCAGGTATCATTTGCCTGCTTCCTTTGGATTTTCCAAATACACATCTGTCTTCTCTGACCTTGTATCTGAGGGTTAACACTTTGTCCTTAATCTTAGTACATGGACTTAAAAAGTCCTTTTCAGGCCTGATGCCTTTCATTTCCTAGAGACCTTTTGCATTTTAGAGAGATAAATGATATTTGTATGTATTTTAAGAAGAGAAAGGAAGCTCTGGTAGCGCAGTGCCTAAAGCACTTGACTGCTGACCAGAAGGCTGGTGGTTCAAACCCACCAGCCACTCCTCAGAAGGAAGATGGGGCAATCTACTTCTGTAATGATACTGCCTTGGAAACCCAAGGAAGGGTCACTGTGAGTTGGGTCCCACTCGATGGCACATAACAACAACAACAAGAGAAAGCCATTTTACTCAATTGCATTTGACTTTCTAATAATTTAGTTTTTGAAAAATCAAGACTTACATGCTATAGTGTGGAGGGAGCTTGAAGGCATCATGCTGAGTGAAATAAGCCAGTCACAAAGAACAGATGCTGTCGGAGGTCACTTACATAAAAACAGGAAAAGGCAAATTTATAGAGATCATAGTTTTGTTAGTGGTTACCAGAGGTAGGAGGGAGAGGAAAGGGGAGTTAATGGTGGTGGAAAAATGGCATTGATGAAGGGTAGGCTTGCACAGCCAATTATTGTAGTTGCTGTGAGTAAGTTGGACACCTATACGCAGCTGGACTGGCAAACGTTGTGCTGTAGATACATGTACAACAATGGGGGGAAGAAAGAGTAGCTGCTGAGGCTGCTTTTGTCCAACCAAACAGCCATGGTTTAGTCTCTTGGTTTGGAGGTTTAGGGTCATGGTCTCATGGGACATCCTGGTTAATTGGCCTAATAACGTGTTCAGTACTTCTGTTCTGCCTCCTAGTTCACTGCATAGTGTCTGGGGTTTTAAACTTGCAAGCAAACATCTGAGGCGTAACAGTGGGTCTCTACTCACCTGAAGCAGCAGAAGGAGAAGCAGGAATAGTGTTACTGGGTCCTTGTGACCCTGAGCAGGGTCTTCGCTTTCTGTTGACGAAGAATTGAACAGGAGAGGCAAAATGTGCACACGAACCAAAGGTTATTAAAGAAAGATGAGAGGGGAGGGGCTTTTGCCTAAGCTAGTCTCCAGTCTCTGTCAACAACAAAGGGTTTCCTAGGGTTTATAAAGGGTTTGGGGCAGGAATAAGGAATAGGCGGGGATTTCCGGGGAAAAGGTGGGGTTATGACAATCAGGCGCGCATGCAGGAGACAGCCAAGATGGATCCCATCGCAAAGGCTGTCCAAACAAAGAGGAAACCTGTCGCAAAGGCTGCTGAGATAGTGCCATGACTTGTTCTAGGGTGTTGTGCATACGTGATGTCTCTAGACCCTGGTTCGAGTCCCAGCAAGGGACTCCTGTTCTTGACTGCCTCTGATGGAAGGTCACTTTGCTTTTAAGTTGCATTTTACAGCATGTGCTCTGTACCTGGTGAGGTACTTGAAGGACAGCTCTGAGGTTTATCGGCATTTTACAATGGTCAAGTTTGTGGGGTCTGTTGAAATAATTTCATATCTTGCCTAAGAGTCTGGTTTGTTAATGGAAAGCAGTTCTCTGTAGGCAGCAGCAGTGTGGTGGTCTGCCACACAAAACTATTCCAAGAGTACTGAGTCAGAGGGTTGTTTGGCCTGGCTAGTCTGATTGCCTGCCGGTCTCAATACGGGGAAGATATGGAATGTATAGCTAATTGCCTCCATGAACAGCTGCCTCCTTTGCCATGAGACCAGAACCAGATGGTATCTGGCTACCGTTACTGAACATTTTGATCAAAGATTCCGTGGCAGAATCCTGGTCAAAAGGGAAAAAATGCAGAACAGAATTTCAAATTCTCATGGACTCCAGACTTTCTGGAGCCGTGGGGGGTGGATGAGTTGCTGAAACTATTGCCCTAAGATAATCTTTAAACTTTAAACCCACAATATCCCCCGAAGTCATCTTGAAACCAAACAATAGTTTAGTTTAACTGGTTAAAAAAAAAAAAAAGGATCTCCCTTGCACATTATGCTCTGAAGACCTATCTACATGGGATCAAATTGACAACAGCAACTGGAAAGTTTAGGTGGGAACCTTAGGGGGCAGTGAGATTATGTTAATGGAGGAATGACTCAGAAAAGGAGGGTGAGAAGGGTTGCCCCACTCAAAAACCTCATCAGTGTCACTAAATTGTACCTGTAGAAACTGTTGAATTGGTGTCTGCTTTGTTGTGAATATTCTCAACAACAACTAAGTAAAATTTAGGGGGGGAAACTGCATTCCTGGATTAATTGATCTTAGAGAAAAAATTACAGAATATAAAGATTGTGCAAAAAACTAATCAGATTTTATAGAAGTTCTTCCTATATTAGCAAGTAAAGTGGTTTTAAATATTCACAAAATAGGATCCTGTTTAGTGATTAAATGGCACAAACTACTGATAAATTGAACATAGTAGTTTTTAAAATATCATGCTGATCACATGAAGCCCTGCCCGGAGGACACCGTAGTACAGATTCTGTTCTGTGTTATGTGAAGTTCTAGAATAGGCAAAACTAATCCATATGAAAAAGAAATTTATAGTGGTGGTTGCATTGGGGCTGGGGGCTGTTGAAATAGGAGTTCTTTGGGAAGAGGTTTGAGGGAACGCTCTAGGGTGGTCAGGTTGTGTACTGAAGATGTGGTCGTTTTGTCTTATATAAGTATTACCTTACCAGTAAAGAACCATAAGCAAATAATAAACTCTAGTGAATGATATGCATGCTTCAATGTTTACATGTAAAATGCCCTAATCTGTGCACCTGACTTTGAGATGCATCCAAAAAACAGGATGGGTGGACAGAGAGAAGCATGCATAGGTGGATATCGATGTAATAAAATGAGTTGAGCACACGGTTAACTGTAAAGTGCAGGTGGAGGGTATGCACCGTGTAATTCTTTCATCTTTTCTGTGTTTGGAAATTTTCAAAAGAAAATGTTAAGGAAAAATACTAAACCAGAGATACAGAAGGAAATATGTATGATCTTTGTGGAATGGCCAAAATTGAGTTGAAAAAGGCCTTCTGGCGTGGGGTTAGATTGGAGTCTTTGCAGTGGTGGTTTTCCCCAGCACAGGCTTGTCCCCAGCCTTTCTCGGCTCCCAGATGGTAGTAGCTCTTCAGCTGCTGCCATTTGCTGGTGGCGACATTCTCAGTCCTTGTGGAAGTTTCAGGTGGCTTGCCACATAGCTGTACCACATCTCTGCCATGTGAGTTTGCCAGTGTCAGAAATAAACAAAGCTCTGAGTATAGAAACTATTGGAGTACTTTTATTTTTAAACTACTTCAGGGGGAGGAAATAGAGCAGGCTGTTGCCTCAAACACCAGAAATTAGTCTGATCTGTGTATGTGTGGAGATATATATATTTATGTATGTATGAATATATACATTCCTATATACATAGGAATTTGTTCTGTAAATTTTCACCCAAATATATATATGTGGTGTGTGGGTGTGTTAGAGAGAGAGATTTAGGTGAAAGTTTACAGAGCAAATTCATTTTCCATCCAACAGTTAATTCATATTTTGTTTCATAACATTGAATGCAATCCCCATAATGTAATAGCTCTCTTCCCAATTCCTCCTTGTGGTTGATTACCTTTTCCCTGTGTCCTTTTTTCCTATGCGGTCCTGCCCTCTGAGCTATCTCCCTGCGTAAACGCTGCCATTCTGATTTCCCATGGTTGCTTGAACTAAGGAGTGCACCTACCTGGTGTAAATGTTCACTTTGTACACCTGTCTATTGTTTGGTTGGAAGCCACGGGAGTGACTTCAGTTCTAGGCCTGAAGGGTGACTAGGGGCCATGGTCTCAGTTTCATATGCTTTTGAGTTGTGTTCCACGTTTTTCTCCCACTCCATCCAGGATCTCCTGTTTTGATCCCTTGCCAAGTGGTTGACAGTGGTAGCTGGCACCATCTGGTTCTGGTCTCAGTCATCTAGGTGAGGTTCTCATGGTCCAGTAGTCCCTTGGACAGACTGTTTCCATACATCTTTAGTTTTCTTCATTCTTCTTTGCTTCAGACAAGTAGAGACCCATTGTTGCATCTAGATGGCCACTTGCAAGCTTTAAAGACCCCGGTCGCTACTCACCAAAGTAGACTAAAGAACAATGTTTTTGTTGGTGAAGTTTGTATATATTGATTAAAGACTCAGAAAATGCAGAAAAATGTTTCACAAACCTTGACATCCATACAACACAAAAGATTTTGTTCAGGTGGCAGGAGACAGGCTCTGAGGGTTTTTTGTTTGTTTGTTTTGAAGTTAGAGGCAAGAGAATGCTCACCCTTTATCATTGACTGATGGGAACCGTCTCACCACTGATGGGGCGGGGTCAGCCTTTCCTGGCGGAGACCTGGCCTCAGCCAGATTGGCAGCTAGTCACGCTCTCCACGCGGTTCATGTGGTGGTGGGTTCAGCTTCCTCAGCAGCACAGAGTAAGACGTTTTCAGCCTAATTTCTAAAGAAACCAAGTCCTTTTAGGTGTAAGTGGTTTGCTTTAGTTTCTTAAAGGAAGGCTTTTCTTTTTGTTTCTTGTGTTCGGCTCTCAAAGAGTGAGCTTCGCTGCTTTGCTTCCGCATCACTCTAAACAGACCGTGCAGCCCGGGTGATGCAGACAGCAGGGCTGTGGGAGCCTTCTCCTCCCCCCTTGCCAGCTCCTGCGTTTCTGCTCCCTTGACAGGATGGCCAGGACTGGAAGAAACGCGGGGTGACATTTTGTGTCAGTCAGTATCTCTGTAGTCTACAGAGGCTTTTCTGTTGTTGGCTCCATCGGGTTGGCACCGGCTCGTGGCGAGCGTGTGTCCGTCGAGGGAAGCGCTGCCTCGCCCCGTGCCGTCTGCAGGATCGTTCGTGTGTTTGATCTGCTCTTGTGGCCTCTGGGTCAGTCCACCCAATGTGAGCTTCTCTTGTTTTCACTAACTTTTTGCTTTACCAGATAGGATGTCCATGTCTAGCAATTGGTCCTTCCTGGCGGCATGGCCAAAGAAAGCGAGCCAGAGTTTCACCATCAGAAAGAAGTCACACAAACAGAAGGGCTGTGTGTGCATAGAGACAGCTCGGGGGCCAGGAGTGCATGGAGGGAAGGACACAGGGAAGAGGTGGCTGTGGGGAGGAAGTGGGAGGGGAGCTGCTGCATGGTGGGAAATTGCAGTCAGTGTCAGGAGACGGTGTATGTGAGCTGCTGAATGGAAGGTGGATTTGCTCTAAACTGTCACCCAAATCACAATAAAATAATAATAAAAAAAAGAACACAAGAGAAAAGTAGATAATATTGCAGAAAGGATGTGGCGCTGGCATCCTCTGACCTCCTCAAACTTTACCCGGAGGAGAGAGAGTCACCATCAGGAGCATCAGCCCAACACTATCCCTGTGAGGTGCAAGTCGGACATGCCACCACCTCCAGCCTGTTTTACCAATTCTGACACCAACTGTCCCTCCCATAGCCTCTCTGCTTCTCTGCTGGGTTTGATAATTCATTGCAGTGGCCACTGACAATACTTAAAATTATGGGGTTTATTAGGGAAGCAACAGGTTATAATTCAGGATCAGGAACACTCAAAATACAGTTCTTGGATCAGGACAGCCTCCCCTCTGCCACGCCTGTATGCATGCCTCTCTGTGGCCCTTAGCCTCTTGGCCAGGCCTTTGCTCTGCTTGGGCAAGTGTTACAAAGCTCTGGAGACTGGCAAGCCCACAAGGGTCTCTAGATCCTGCTGCCACTCTCTGCCGTCGCAGCGTAGGGACCTCAGATCCGAGGATGCACATCACTCCTGGCTCTTCTGCTGTCTGGATGGCAGGGAGATCCCCTTTCCTGCCTCTGGGAAGGCTCATTTTAAGCCTAGCAAGATGGCTAACCAGTCTACACGTTAGGGTTCCATACACATTATTTGCACAGTCCTAGCCCCACAAGGGTGCCACATACCTTATTTACCTTATTGTTAAGCTATCCAGTCCCCTTGGTGGGCTACAGAGCACCTCACATTTGCATAGTTCTACCAATTCATCTAATGGGAGTCACAAAGACCATGGCTAAGAGAGCCATACCAACTAACCGCCTGCACTACACATGTCTGTGTGTGTGTGTGTGTGTGTGTGTGTGTGTGTGGTATAGCAGATGGTGGCTGCTTTAGAGTCAGTATTCATTAACCATCGCTAGCATTGCTATTGTTGTCTGGTGCCGTCAAGCCCGTTTTAACTCCTAGTGGCCCATGTGCCAGGGTGGTACTGCCCCATGGTGTTTCCTAGGCTATAAATATTGACAGGCAGGTCACCAGGTCTTTCTCCATACAGGGTGGGAGTGAACCACCACCGGCTTTTGGTTGGCAGCCAAGTGTTTAACTGTTGCCACCAGGGCTCTTCTAGCTAGGTTTAGGTTTAGGACTTGAAAAGTCTGCAATTCTGGCCCTGCCTGTTCCATTTGATGAGCTCCAGTCACTGTGCTTGGCCCAGCTAAATAGGGACCATTGGTACCGCCTCTGCCCTCAAAGACTGGAGCGTGCTGTCTCATACCTTCTCTTTTATATTTTGTTGCACATAAGTGGTATCATCAAGTGGAGAGAGTTACTTTGCCATCAGAGAGTTATACATTGATTTCCTGCCCAGCTTGTGGGCAAATCTGCTGCAAAAGACCTCTTTAAAATGTTAAAAAGCAAACATGTCACTTTGAGGACTAAGGTGCACCTGACCCAAGTCATGATATTTTCAGTCACCTCGTATGCATGCAAAAGCTGGACAGTGAATAAGACCAAAGAAGAATTGGTGCATTTGAATTGTAGTGTTGGTATAGCGTAGTGAATATTCTGTGGACTGCCAGAAGAATGAATAAATCTATCTTGGAAGACAGCCAGAATGTACCTTAAAACCAAGGATGGTGAGACTTTACCTCACACAGCCCCTGGAGAAACACATCATGCTTGGTAAAGTAGAGGGTCAGTGAAGAAGAGGAAGACCCCCAGTGAGAGGGATTGACACAGCACCTACAACAGCAGGCTCAAACGTAACAGTGATCGTGAGCATGGCACAGGACCAGGCCGTGTTTTGTTCTGTTGTACACAGGGTTGCTGAGAGTCAGAACTAACTCAGCAGCATCTAACAGCAACTGGGGGGCAACTGGGGGAAAGTTAAAGTGCTGCAGGTAGCCCCCCCAGTGGTGTAACTTCTAGAACTTTCATACCCAGCCCAAGTGACACCCCTTACAGGCTACCCAGATCGAGGTGTATCTAAATGATGTGTTTTTTGCAGCAAAAATTGGATGCGGAGTTTCAGAAAAGACTGGAGAGGAACAAGATTGCTGCAGAGGAGCAGACTGCAAAGCGTCGGAAGAAGCGGTAAGGGCACTGCGGCATCACATGGCTATAGTAATCAGGCTCCAGGGCAGGAAGGGCAGAGTGGCCAGCTGGGGAGTGAGGTGAGTCCTTCCTGCAGCCACAAGTCCACCCGTACCAGCTGTAAAGGTCTCGGATGTTTCACCTTGTGGTAGGACACATCAGTAGAGCAGTGACTCTTCTTCCCTAGCGTTTTTCAGAGCCTCCAAAGCTTAGACATCAGCACTTAGGTGATCACCTGGATTTTGTTGCTTCCTTCACTTTATTTCAACATCATGTTTAACAAGATGCTCTAACCAAACTTCCCAGTTAGTCTCTTCCTTAAATTAGGGTCTGTGACTTCCCCAGGTGACTACATGATTATTTGGGTTGTTTGTGTGTCTGTGTATGTGTTTAATAAATTGGCCCTTCCATTTCCAGAGAGCTGATAACAGACCCTAAATATGTTGGGATGAAAAAGCACCTCCAGTCCTTCTGAGATTGCTTTAATCACCTAGGACTCCCTGGGGTTTAATCTTGATGCGAAATGGAAACAGCTTGTTCATGTTGACAGTGTTGGAGGAGCAGAATCATGAGCAGTTGTTTCCTTCACGTTGTCAGTGTAATGCTCATTCAGTGATAAATTTCTAAAGGATGCCAGCAGTGAGTGTTTATTTTCTACACTGTGCAATAAAGTGACTAAGGAGTCAATGCACTTACTGTCCATTTGCAGTCAGAAGTTAAAAGAGAAGAAGTTATTGGCAAAGAAGATGAAGCTTGAGCAAAAGAAAGAAAAAGAAGGTGAGTGGTGCTCCTTTGTCCTGACCGTGACCTTTGTCTCAGGGTTGGTCGCAGGGCATGAACGCTCAGGAAATGCTGAGGTTTAGACTTTGGGGCTGGTTGACTGGCCGCTGAGGAAGTGAGGGCTCGTTTGTACTGGGTAGGACTTCTGTAGTGTCAGAAAACCAAACTGGCATAAGCAGAAATGAACGAGCGGCCCACAGCGGCAGGTACAAGGCAGACCTCCCTTCAGGCTGGATGATAAGGAAGCTGCATGATGTCACTGGCATTTACTGTTTTCTCCCTTTGTCCCCTGGCTCCCTGTCCTCCGACAGGCTCATGCCCCCTGGTGGTTGGGAGGTGCCTACGGCTACTCCCACGCCTGCATCCAGCCTCCGCCTTGCCCAAGGGGAAAGATTAAGAGGATGTCCCAGCATGTCCAGCAGAGGCCACCTCTGATTGAGTTGCCTACCAAGTCAGTTAAGAATGCTTTAGATTACGAGGAACTGAAAACTCAGCTGTCAGTCCTTAAACAAAGAGGAGTTCATTTTTCTAATATAACGAGCTCTGTGTTGGGGGGGCGGGGGGGCTCAACCACTTAGCAGTGTCAGGCCAGCATCTCTGATGTTCCCTTGGCCTTTACCCTGTGGTAGGAGGTGACCGCTGCAGCTCCTGGCATCATACCTATGTTCGAAGCAGGAAGAAGTGTTTTCACTGCTTCCCCCGAAGCACCCAAACCCAGCATATGTTACCGTATGTCTCATTGACCAGTACTGGGTCACTTGGTTAGGTGAACAGAAAACAAGATTGTCATGACTGCCTTAAATCTGCCATGATCATCTCTGGGAGCTGGGTGCATTACCCTCTGGACAAAATTGGGGTTCTGGTAACAAGGAGGAGTGGGTCAGCATCTCACTGTGCTGCCACCCCTGTCCTCCTCTGAACCCACCAGAAGGCCAGGGATGCCATCCACTCCCCAGGAGCCCATAGGGTGAGAATAAGGAAGGGAGGGGGCCCAGATAGGGAGAGGGCCAAGGAAAATAGCAACTGTCCAACCACATTACTGAATCAGCAGCTGTTCCCTGATTGGCTAGACTTGGTTCCTGGGTAAATGAGTATGATTTTTGGTGTTAAGAGAAGGTGACTTTCATTGACATCCTGAAATATGATTGGCCCCTTCCAGAAGCGTTTCGTTAGGAGTTGGACATTTCCTGCGTGGCGCACTGTGGTTTTAGACCGTTCCTCACCTTTTCCTAGAAGAAATTATTTTACACAGCTCAAGTGTGACTCATCGTGCCTGCCCTCCCCTCCAGCATAATGCTCATGGGAATAGGGACGTATTGGGGCCGAGAAGAGGAGGACTGGGCACGGGAGCCAGGCTCCTGTTCTTTTGAGGGGAGACTAGCTTGGACTGGTGGGCTGCGGGTAGTCCGACCTTCCCTCTTCCTGGTTTGTTTCTGCTGTTGCTAATTGTGTGTGTAGCCACTTTCCTGAACTGTAAAGTCTGTATGATTTGTTAGCTATTGCCCCTGAAGTTTGCTCAGTTAGTTTCAAAAAACACAAACTCGCTGCCATCGAGTCGATTCTGACACATAGTGACCGCTCCTTGGGTTCCTGAGGCGGTATCTCTATGGAAGTAGATTGCTCACTCTTCCTTTTGAAGAGTGGCTGGCGGGTTTGAACCACCAACCTTCTGGTTAGCAGTCATTTAGCTTAGCAGTTAGCTAATGATTGGATAGGATTTCTTTAAATGCCTTGAATGGATAAATCTGTCTTTGCCAAAGGACTGTGTGTGTGTTGGGCCATGCTTTTACCCTCTGCAAAATCAGAAAGGAGACCCACCACCGTAGAGTTGGTTCCAACTCGTAACGACCCTGTGGAATAGGGTAGAATCCAACGCTATCAATCTTTTTTTTTTTTTTTTTTTTAATTTTTATTGTGACTTGGGTGAAAGTTTACAGAGTGAATTCATTCTCCACACAGCAGTTCGTACACATTTTGTTTCATGACATTGACTGCAGTTCCCCACAGTGTAGCAGCTCTCTTCCCACTTTCTCCCTGTAGTTTCTTCCCTGTGTCATTCTTTCCTGTGCACTCCTGCCCCCTGAGCTGTCTCCCTGTGCAAACACTGCCCTTCTGTTCTCCCACGACTGATCATTCTAAGGAGTATATCTACCTGATGTAAACGTTCACGCTGTATACCTGTCCATTGTTGGGCTGGAAGCCACAGGAGTGAGTTCAGTTCAGACCTGAAGGGTAACTAGGAGACGTAGTCTTAGGGGTCTCACCACGCTCAATCAGACCAGTAAACCTGGTCCTTTTTTTATGATACTAAGTTTTGTTCCCCATTGATCTCCTGCACTGATCCCCCCCTGAGTGGTTGACCATGGTGGCTGGGCACCATCTAGGTCTTCTGGTCTCATGGTCATGCAAGCTGAGGATCCCATGGTCTCCTGGTCCCTTGGACTAATCGTTTCCATGCGTCCTTGGTTTTCCTTCATCCTTCTTTGCTCTGGACAAGAGATCCATTTCCGAAGTTCTGAAAAACGTTGGTGCTGACAAGTTCTGCCATGTTCCCAGTGCTTTTGTGGAGGAGTAGACTGTCAGAGGTCTTTCTCGGCCTTTCCGGAAGTGTTTCCATCCGTTTGAACTTTAACTGACATGGATCACTGCATTTGCAGTGAGTTTCCTGTCGACTTCAAATGTTTGGGTCATGTTACTTACTTATTCTGACAACCTCTTTTTGTTGAAGGTTTGGATTTAGGTCTGTCATTTTATTTTTCCTGTTTTGTTTGTTTCCTCTGTGTTGTTGTCTCTGTTTCCCCTTCCTGCCTTCTTTTGGGATTATTTGAGGGCTGAATTTTTTCATTCTCAAAGCTTGAATTCACACTTACGTGATCAGAGCTGTCTGAAGGCAGGTGTGAGCCATGCGGCTTTACAGAGAGAATAAACCTTAAATCACTAGTCATTTTAAGCATAAACTCACCCTAAAATGGAAAGGACTCTTTAAAAGATGGGTTGTGAGTTATCTTGGGATATTTGTATGTACTAAGGAAATGTAAATCTGATGAGTAACATTTGGATTGATTTTAAATCATTTGTTATTGTTGTTGTTATGTGCCTTTTTAGCATCAAAAAATGTCTACATCTTGCTTTATACTTTTTTCTGCATGTTTTTTATTTTTTTATTTTTTAGGGAAAAAAAATGTCATTTTAAATGGAATTCAGTCCACAACATTATGAACGTTCTCTGATGCAGTAGCAGCTCCCAGAGAGCTGTCAATCTACTGTGTTTGTTTCATATCTTGTAACAACTGTTACCTTTTTTTGTTTAATGGTTTTATTGTAAAAAATACATCTATGTAAATGTATGTCCATATATTAAAAAAACGAAAGTTGTCGTTTTGACATTTTTTTACATATACGATTCAGTGACATTGATTATGTTCATCATGTTGTCCAGACATCACCCCTGTCCGTTTTCCCGTTCTTCCACCGCTATCAGCAGAAACTCAGGAAGAGTCCTCTTTGTCCTCCCTCCCATCCCTGGTCACTGATACTGAACTTGGTCTTTATACATTTGCCTGTTTCATGGTGAAATCACACTTGTCCTTTGTGACTAACTTTAACTCAGCATTGTGTTTTCAAGATGTGTCAGAACATCACTTCTGTTTAGGGCCGAGTGATACTCCACTGTGTGGATGGACCACATTTTGCTTATCTGTGCATCAGTTGATGGGCGTTTCAGTGGTCCCCACCTCGTGGCTGTGGTGAGCACTGTTGTCCTGAACACTGTGTACGTGTGTCTGCTTTCCAGCATCCAGTCCTCTTCCGTGTATCCATAGGAGTGGGATTGCTGGGCCGTATGGTAGTCCCGTTTCTAACTTTGTTTTCTGTAACAGCAGTGCCATTTTAAGTTGCCACCAGCAATGGATGAGAGATCCAGTTTCTCTGCATGCGCCCCAACAGCCGTTATTTTCTGGTTTGTCATTATAACCATTTGAGTGATGTAGGGAGTGGTATCTCCTGTGGTTTTGATTTTTGACGTCCCTGATGACGGGGAGCATCTCGCCATGTGCTTGTCAGTACTGACTCTTCTTGGTGTTGGTTTGTGATCATAACCGTTCAGGGGTGGGAGGACAGTGGTATCTCCTGTGGTTTGATTTTTGATCTCCCTGATGACTGATGATGAGGAGCCTTTCACCGTGTGCTTGTTGGTACTGTCTCTTAGAGTTGGTTTTGTTGGTTTGGTTTAATGGTTGCTCTAAAGAACAGTATATTAACCAGGGAGTTACCATGTCTGTTGCTTTTCCTTCATTCTTGGTGTTTGGAACTTCCCACTGTACTATTTCCCTTAAGTCTGTCCTTGGTCATTAACTTAGAACAGGTCTGCCAGTTACGCGTTTTCTTTGTTCCTTCAAAGGCACATTTAACACCTTCATTACTGAAGGACAGCCTCACTGGACAGGGGATTCCGGGTGGCAGTTCTTTTCTCTGAGCTCCTCAGAATGTTGTTCCCCTTCACGTGGCCTCCCTGGTTTCTGATGAGAAATTTGCAGTTGTTTGAGTCATTCTCTCATCATCGTTGTTCTCTGGCTGCTTTGAGGCCTCTTTCTCTGTGGATTTCAGCACTTTGGTTGTGGTGTGTGTTAAGGTGGCTTTCTGTGAGCAGTTTATACTGTTTGGAGTGAAGCTGAGCTCCTTGAATCTCTGAGTGTATGTCTCCAGCCTTCTTATGTCTTCTGTTTCTTTGCTGCTGTTGTCAGTGTTGCAGTTCACTTCAAGAGTGTCCATCTTTACTTCTTGAGAAAAAAGTGTAAAGAGCTGTTTGACGTATTTGTCTATGCTTCAGCCTGTCTTGGTCATCTCAGCATTTGCGTTGGTTGCCTGTATTTTCCCACACACATTGAGATTTTCCAAATTATTCGTGTGCCAAATAATTTTCTGTCCTGGACATTTTTAATTGTATCCTGAGGCCCTGGTCTTGTTTAAACTCTGTGGAGAATGTTATTTATTTTAAC